GGAATCCCTTTCCTCACCAACATTGTGTCAACAAGGCCACATGCATCCTACTGTGTGTCTAGAAAAAGGCTTTCGTTCTCAGAGGGGGATGAGAATGATGTCCACACAAGGAGCGTCATTGTGCGTCGGGTCCGGAATGACACGGCCCATCCCTCTCGCTCGAGTTATCCGAGAAAAACGTCTGAGAGATCGACATCTCCCCACTCCGCTCATGGGTCCGCTCGGCCTCCATCGGAGCACAACTCGTATGAATCGGTCAGAAACTCTGAGCCCAGCAGGAAGTCTCCTGACCGGGGTGAAGCTTTGGAGAGGACGTACGCCTCCATATTGAAAGGGAATTCATCACACTTCACACCCGTGAGACCCCAGCTGACATCATCGGTGTCTTTCAGCGATGCTGAAGTGCAGCACATCAGGCTGTCGTCTGGCAATAAAGAGGAGAATGAGGAGCAGGAGTCCCGCTACAATACCAAAGTGCCCTTTCAGGGTCAGGCTAGTGAGCCAAGCCAGACCATTGACAGGAGTGGGCCGCTTATAAAAAGCCTACTCAGGAGGTCATTATCCATGGACAGCCCCGTTCCAGTCTTCTCCCCCACGCTGGAGCTCAAGGAGCTGCAAAATCGAGACCAGTCAGTTGTACAGATGGCGCTGAAGACGTCCGTGCCAGAAACCTCCGCCCACAATGGCGACTCAAAAAGAACGTCTCCTCTGGTTCTCAGGTCAAAGTATACCGGCAGGTATGATGGAGAAACTCAGGTAGGAGAGGTGAGTGTGAAAGCTGAGCCCAGCAGTCCACTTGCTGACCCCATGGACATCGTACGCATCACAGTTGGTGATTCTTTGCCAGTGAGTCTCAAAGACTTTCAAAGTAATTATGATCAAGGTCCCAGGGAAGTCTTAAATCCTGTGGAGAAAAGAAGGGACAGGCCAGACAACAGACGGTACCCGTTAAAGAAGAGCAAACTATTTAAAGAGCATGCTCTCTCAGTTAACGTGAATATGTCAAAAGCAGTACCTCAGCACGCCAGCGGTGACCCTAACGAGGACGGCGAGGAGTCGCCTCAGAACAAGATTTTCAAATGCTGGAATTGTTTAAAGGTTTTCCGGTCAGGTGCTGGGCTTCATCGCCATGTAAATATGTATCACAATCCGGAAAAGCCGTATGCTTGCGACATCTGCCACAAGCGCTTTCATACCAACTTCAAAGTGTGGACGCACTGCCAAACGCAGCATGGTGTAGTACAAAACCCAGCGTCGTCCGCCAGCTCCTCTGTTCTCGATGAGAAATTTCAAAAGAAGCTAATAGATATTGTGAGAGAGAGAGAAATAAAGAAAGCGTTGCTTTGGAAGTTAAAGAGGAATAAGCAGGGTTTGCAGTCTCCTGCAATTACAAAAAAGAGATCGAGGCCCAGCTACATATGCCCGTACTGCGGCAAGACATTCGTGTTCCAGTCTCAGTACAGACAGCATTTAAGGACACATCCTGCTGAAAAAGCTGACCAGGACGCAGCGAGGGAGAGCATCCTCTACCAGGAACAGGATGAGATCATTCAGCAGAAGAACCCTGACACCGGTGTTTACTCCTGTAGACTTTGCAATATGAAGCTGTCATCGCTCCTGGAGCAGGGTGACCACGAGCGAGGCTGTCGCCACGCAACCGTGTGCCCCTACTGTGGCCTCAGATTCTCAAGTCCAGTTGTCAAGAAAGACCACGAGGCGCATTGTAAGTACAAGAAGCTGACATGCCTGGAATGCATGCGCACCTTCAAATCCTCCTTCAGCATTTGGCGCCATCAGGTGGAGGTGCACAACCACAATATGATGACTGTTAAAGACCACATTCTCCTGAAGCAACAAGAGAACAACGAGGAGGAGTCTGAAATGCTCAAGGAGGAGCATTACAGTGATGAGCCTCTAACGAGCGAGAGCACAAGAGAGAACATCAGCTACAGCGATTCCTCAGGTCCACCTATGTATGACTCTGAAGACTCTTCCTCCTATGTGCCTGAAGACCTGAGCATGGGCCACCATGGCAAGCTGGTAGTGAAGGAGGAGCCGTTGGAGGAGGCTGTGAGTGAGCGGGACAACCCCGACGCTGCCAAAAGTGGCTCCGAAGAACCCGGCGTGTGGCCGTGCGAGAAGTGCGGAAATCTTTTCAGCTCTCGCAAAGACTTGGAACGACACCAGGAGCTGCTATGCCACATCAAACCATTCATCTGTCACATCTGCAACAAAGCCTTCAGGACCAACTTCCGCCTTTGGAGCCACTTCCAGTCTCACATGTCGACTGCTAACGAACCCGGAGCCAAAGAGATCGACAGAAACCCCTCACCTCTGAGCCCTTCCCCTCCGCTTACCCCTTCAGAACGTCCCTCCCCACAGGCCTCCGTGCTCATATCTACTCAGGCGGCACCGGTCCCTGCTGCTACTGCCGCTGCAACCGCAGGGACCGACGAGTCCAGCAGCCCAGATCCCTGCAGCTCATTGGTAAGCAAGACCAAGAGGCCCGAACTGGAACGGCAAACCAGCAGCCAAAGCCCCCTGTCAAGGTCAAACAGCATGGAGAATCCAGGCGGCCCTCAGGAATCGGACACGCTCTTTTACCACGCACCGTCTCTCTCTGCCCTGACGTTTAAGAGGCAGTACATGTGCAAACTCTGCCACAGGACCTTCAAGACGGCCTTCAGTCTGTGGAGCCACGAGCAGAGTCACAGTCACATGTAAGATTCAGATGGCCGATAGCAGTGAGGTTTTTCTCGGGAGACGATACTTACTATAAGAATAAACACACCTCAGCCTACAAACAAAAGACTCTGAATGTATAGTTTATTCGCTTGCCTCCAATGTCATATATTGAAGTGGCCATGTTTATTTAGACGCGTAAACGTGAATGTGCAATCAAGTGCTAGATTCCTCTGTGAGAAGAGATGACTATAATTTTTTTTCTTGCAAAATGATCTATATGAATTTATCTGTTTCAGACCTCTTTCGGTTGTCTAGTTGTATTTACCTATCTAGTCGTTTTAAGAGTTGCACCCCTCAATGTTCTCGACTTGAAGGTAGAGGAAAAGGCGGGACAAGTGTTTACGTTGTTCTCTCGAGTGTGGTGGAAAAAGTGCTTTAAACTTTTGGAGGCTGCGGTTCATTTAAAGATGAGAGCTTTTGCTTTTTGTACAAACGTGATTGACATCCCTTAAGATATTATTGGTGGCCTCAACAATGTATTCAATATGCACTTTTTTGATTCTGGTAGGAAGATCTAATCCTCAGTGATTACTCTGGATCAGTATGTTTCCCTAACTGAGTTTTTAGGCTGCAGGAGTAAAAGTGACAACAAAAAGCATCTATAACTCTTTTGTTCTTACGTTTGAGGCTCATATTGAATTCGCATCAACTCATTTCATGGAAAAATTCAATGAGACAGTCTGTATAAGACAGCTATACCACATACAGTCTTCATTCAGCACCCACAAACACAGTATCTTCCTAATGATTAGCCTGCTGTGAAACAATCAACTGGAAGATTACAGAGAAAATATTTATTTTCTGAAGTTAAATGACGATAACGTCGCTAAATTATGTGGAAAAAGGTGCTCAGACCAGTGCACTAGTAGCCATGCAGGCTGTCACTGAGCAGTGAGCTGGGTTGATCTCATAAAGTCCTAAATACGAGACATCCTTGCAGTATTTGGCTTATAATAATATTCAATATTTCCTGTGAGTAAGCTTTCACATCAAATGCACTGCAGTATAATAATATAATTTACGGTTTTGATGAAACGATAAATGAGAACCTCTAAAAGTCGTTTGTTTATATGAAACGTTGTCAGGGTGTCTCAATCGCTGAGTACGGCACAGTGTTGTGTAAATACACTGATAGAATTTTTTGCAATTGAACACATTGGACTATTAAGTGAGCTTTACAGCGCTTCGATGGCCTTATGCAACTTTACAAAACTATTTTGTTATTTTACGTGAAAGCACAACAGCTTCAGACCACTTATGACTCAGGCATTTCAAGGTGGCGGCGTCAACGGGAGGGAAAGCAACGAGACGGCGAATCTTTATTCTACGAATGGTCACAGAGTGTTCCTGCTTCCTGAAGATTTCTTGGAAAAGTAATGATTGTGTTTTGATTGTATTCCGGTTGTTTTACAAATGTATTCTTGTACAAGTATATACTTCTGCTTCGGCTTGATAGTTTAGAACTTTGTCATAAATTATTATTGCTGTTTGGGAGACTGACAGACAGGACTCCACACGGACTAATGGACTTTCCACTAAATGATTAATGCAAGCTGCATTGTGATGTTAAATTCTTTGCGGAAATTCTGTATTGATAATAGTGCTCTTAATTTCTTGTGAGAAAGACTTTCTGAAAGTTTCACAGGAATGCTTATAGACTTGTGTACATGGAAGTGTTTGTATTCTTGATTTTTGTACCGATTTTGTTAGTAAACAAGAGTTTGATCTTTTTAGTATTCCTGTGCTCTCACTGCAATAATGAATATTTGTATCAACATTGGTTGCATCGCTGTTGCTTTTTGAGACTTGCAGCTGTTTTGTGTTTAGGTTTTTCTACAGTTTTGTGCTTCACTTCTGTAATAAAGAGTAACAATGGAGTATATATATATATATTATATACATATATAAATGATCATTTGTGGTGTTGGATTTATGAATTTAACAACTTTGAATGTTTCACGGTGGATCAAAAGATTTTGGGTTACATTTTCAGTCGTGTTAGTCTAATTGGCCATCATAAATTGGCTACATATTGTTGCCAGGTAGATTAAGTATTTAAATGGATAGAATAATGTGTTTGATTCCAAATGTACAAGCATTTGGACAACGGCACAATTTCTTACCTTTGTACACCTCCCCAGTGAATATCAAATCAAATGGCTGCAATGTGACTAATGCAGACTTTAATTTAAAGGTTTTAACAAAAGTAGAGTATTAACTGATTTTGAATTATATGTAGCACCGCTTTTAAATAGTTTTCAAAATAATTAGACTGTTGACAAGCAGTTTGATGACCAGGTAAGGCCTGTTCCCTCTTTATTCCATGGCTAAGCTGATCTGTGATGACCTTGCATTTAGTAGTTGTTAAGTGGAACTCTGTTAGGACCGAGTGAAAGCATTAGGCTGACAAAACAATCAAACAAAAAGAAAACTTTCAGAAAGAGCAAAAACTTTAGGGAAGGAATAAACTGTTCAGCTCAGCAACACCAAAAGGCCAGGAAGACTACTGAAGGGGTGATCACAGAGGTTTTGTTTTTCTCACTTCGGAAAAACTTCTTCACATCTAACCAAGTCTGGAAAACTCTTGAGAAGGTGTGCGTATCTTTGTCAAAGTACACTCGAGACCAGGAAGGCCGGATTAACTTTGTCAGAAAACATGCAAAAGTTCTTGCAGACTTCTAAAAAAACAAACCAAAATAATTAAAAAAAATTCTTTGGACTCATGAGATTATCGTGGAGCAAAATGATGGGAATACAAATATAATGGGAAGATGAGAAACAGCTCTTGATCTGAAACATATGTTATGGCAGGGGTATATATGGCTGCCAGTAGAACCACATCACTAGCGTTTATTGTGACTGCTGACAGACGTGTAGAGGGCTATATTCTCTGCTCAGATTCAGTCAAATGCTACAAAACTAGAGCACAGGTCGTTGTTTTGCACAAGCCAAGAGTGGAAATGTTTGAGAAAACTCAGGTATTGCAAATTCCTTGTCTGCCAACTGGCTGACTGATTGATCCGCTCATCACTGCAGTACTTTCAGCATTACGAACGCAATGAAGTTGGGAATTCTGATATTTATTTACTGCACAAAACCCCAACTTAAAAGCAAGTAGGTGGCCCTTTCCTGATTTTAGTTTCTTGCATATGTCGCATTTACAAGATTTTGAGATCATCAAACAAGTTTGAATATTAGACAAAGACAGTCTGAGTAAATACAAAATGTATTTAAGTGATGATTTGTAATGCTTTTTTTTTTAAAAAACTATCCAAACCTACCTGTCACTGTGTGAAAAATATAATTGCTCCCTAAACTAATAACTGCTTGTGCCACCCTTGGCGGCAGGAACTGCAACCCAATGTTTGCCGTGACTTTTGATGAGTTTTTCACATCACTGTGGAGGAATTTTTGACACTTCTTTGCAGAATTGCTTTATTTCAGCCACACTGGATTGGTTATGAGCATGAACAGCAAGATTTTTTATTTTTTTCAGACGTTTTTTGGATCTTTTTCCAGCTTGATAACCCACTTGTGATTAAGCTTGCAGGGCAAATTCATGGCAAGGTATCCTGGTCCTGAAGCACTAATGCAACCTCAGACCACCATGTTTGACTGTTGGTGTGATGTTCTTTTTATGAAATACTGTGTTTGTTTTATGGAAGACGTAACGGATGCAAATCTTCCAGTGATTTCTAGATTGAACAGACTGAGGTGTGGATACTGAAGTTGAACTCACTTTTCCCAAAAATGTGGCTAATTACAGTTAATTGATTCAATATGAGGCAAGAAGGAGCAATTACTCTTTCACATGGGACCAGGTAGGACTATGTTGATTTTTTTCCCTTAATAAATGAAATCATCATTTAAAAACTGAGGCCAAACACTTTCACAGGGATTCAGTGATTAATGCTTTTGAATATGTTCTACACCTTGTCCCCTCAAACTAGAGAACAGATAATTATACCCAATGTACATGTTGACCTAATGTATTCACACACATGTTGTTTTCCTCTTGGCAAGCAGACTATCCTGAAAACAGAGGGATGTTTTTCAAAGTGCAGGCCATGGTGGCAGTTTCTGGCTGGAAACAAGGGAGTGAACTTAGGAAGTGTTTGCTTTAATTTGGAAAAGTGGCAAACTGGAAATCCTGTCCTTCCCCATGTGGAAGGTCATACTCTCCACGAAACTGTGCAGAGAGGAAGTTTTCACACAGATGAGGAAATCTGTTCCCAAACTCTGCCAGATCTTTTGCATAAAACTTTTTACACTGATCCAGTGTGATAATATGGAAGCAATGCTTTGCGTCAAGAGCTGTGGCTGTAATTAAAGTAAACATTTATTGTTATTCAAAATTTACAGTAATGCACTGATGACATTATCAAGAAGAGAACATTTTAAGGAATCAAACTGATAAACACGGTTATTTGCTAGTGTGTGTGAGAGAAAAGGGAAAGCTTGCACAAGCAAGAGATTGTTAAATTGAAGATTACATAATTCAGTCTCTTAAGGTACAAATGATACCAGAAGCACAACAAAGACATTAGAACACCATTATACTGACACTGCCTCGTTGTTCCGCTGTATAGCTGACAAAACATAGAAAAGAAATGACAGCAGGACCATAAACATATGAAAGATCCACACCATGAATATTTTCTCTCACAATGCTAGTGTATCCTTAATCAGCCTTCTCATAGTGGTGCTAACAGAAGTGCCCAGCGAGTCAGTGATCTGGTATGTGATTTTGTAAAGGTATGGCTGAACATCTTTAAGAGTGGTGTCAAACACATTGTCCACTTCTGACTGGGTGGGCATCTTTGGCAGGTATTCGTGGCGATTTATGACCTCAACGACGTTGATCACCTTCTCACCCAGCTTCTCACCCACTTTCTCCCTGCAGATCTGTCTCTCCTGCTCATTGGCCAGGTTGACCACATTCACCTTGATGCTCCACACTTCCCAAGGAATGCACTCGTCAGAAAAAGGCCAGCGAGACTTCTTTTTCTGGTAGAACTCCAGGGAGATCTGTCCCATGCCGTCGCTGCCCGAGTTGCTCAAAGCATCCTGCAACAGAAGCACAGCTGAAAGTACAGGCCTCGCAACACGAGAGTCAGAAATCACGCGTTAAAACAGACAATCACCTTGAATTCAGACACCGCTTTCCTGATCATCCTGTCCAGCTCCTCTGAGGACACCCTGACAAAGGTGAAATCTATGAAGTCACAGTCGATGTCCTGTGTGCCCACGGTGCCGATGGAGTAGGTGCCTTCCTTTTTGTAGTGAAATTTCCCGGTGCTCCGGTGCAGCAAAATTGTGTGCAGCAAAGCTAACATAGCTTCTTCAACCTGTCTCGCCTCCACAGTTACTTCAAGAACTTCCGAGCGACAATTCATCGCGAATGTCTAGTTATGTCTGTTAACGAAGAGCAGGAGTCGAGTTCAGCGACGATAGCTACTGTATAGCAGCTAGACTACGGTAGATGACGAAGGTATACTGTTTACATTCACAAATCGGCGTGAAATATCTAATCCAGTGTGTTATTGTATATTAAAATACAAAACAGGGTTTTAATCGATAATACGCAACCTCCACATAACAGTCGTGCTCACTGAGCGTTGATTCATTGTTTCAAACGCAAGCTAGCTAATTGTTTACTACTACAAACAGATTAAGAACGAGACAGGAAGTGGTGGACAATAGGACGAGCTACGGGAAGTCGTGTAGTTCAAAATACCAGCTCGGATTTGTTTTCCGTTTATTTTGACTTAAACATGGACTAAACTAATCGTATAATAGCGTATTACTAATAAAAACAATATCCTAAAAGCTCAGTTGCAGCTTCAGCTGGGAAAAAGCTTTAGTTCCCTCGAGGTCTTGACAACAACAAACGTCTCACAAATGTCGCTGTGCATTCTGGGAGTTACAGTTTGTGCCACATATCCGTCTGGAAGCGATAACTTTGTACAGTCACACTGAAAGTAGTCCACCGGGTCAGGCTGCACTCTTCTCCTGCAGGATGTTTTCCCGGGAATGTTTCTCTTTCTCTGGATATCGTCTGTTGGAGTATGAGCACGAAGCTCGGGCATAAGTCCGTTTTGGCAAACTTTTACTGCTTAGTAGCTAACGAAGAATAGCTAGTTAACGAACCGTAGCGAAAATTAGCTTACTAAGCTAACAATCGTATTCAATGAGAGGAGGAGTGGGCTATTCTGCAGGTTCATTTGTACGCAGGCTACCTTTAGTTTTTTGACAATGGTTTAGCTTTCCACAACCAGCTTGCGTAGTTTGGAAGCCCTGCATGGCAGCACTGAGGCATGGATAACGATAAGCAGAATTTGTATTGGAGGTGGATATTTGTCTTCTTATCATTTTTGGGCGATTGAATTTATTGATTCCACCGTTCCTTAATTAAATACATAACATGAGGTTGGCAGGAAAATTCCCAGAGGAACCGGTGTGTTAAACTCAGATTATCGATCATTTTCCCGAAGAATGTCCGACCCAGAAAGTTCCAGTTCATATTTTGGGTTGGAGGATCCGCAGTGGCTATGTATGGTCACGTTGTTTATCGCCTCCCTGGTTACTCTTATACTGTATTTCGTACAGTATTTCCAACATAGACTTATAGGAAATAAGCAGGGAGCAGCAGAAGGGGACAATGCTGCGACAGAGGAGGAGGAAGCCGCCGCTCTGCTGGGATGGGCGCTGTCACTGAAAAGCTGGAAGAGTCAGTGGAGAAGAGCTTGGTGCATAGCTTTGAATGACGAAGCAAGGAAGCGAAAGGTGAGTCTCATGACCACCAAGCCAATGCTGTACTGTGGGGCAGGTGACTTCAATAAAAGTGTAGCATATAATGCGACAAGCTTATAAAATCTCCTCATGTATGCTGTAAAGTAATTCCCCCTTTGTTTGAAATCATAATCCTCAGTTTTATTAGAGACACTGTAGTGTAAACCCTCCACCTTCCTGCTTATGGATTGACGCTGCCAATGTCGTGCAAGCCCAGATAATTTTGATTCCTTGGCAACATTTCGCTGAGTCTGCAAGACTTTGAGTAGGTGTTTGTTGTTTTAAAGTTTCTGGCCTGTCTCTTGTCAGGGTGCTGTTCTGCTGGCATTTGAAGAGGATGGTCTCGAGGCTTCAGATCTCACGCTTAGCAGGGTCTCCAGCTTTCAGAAGTCTGCCGGCAACAAGGTACTCACTCCACATTCTTACATTGGAAAACACCTTTGCACTGTTTATGGCAGACAAGCACCGACTTGTCGACTTTCCAACGTTACTACAGGCTTTTCTCAGTAAATTTAAATGTTGAAACTAATCTACTTAATATTTTATCAGCAGCAAATATGGTTGTTAATTACCGTAAACTATACTTGAATAAACCACGATGCACTTACTAGTCATACAGAGTGTTTGCCCATTTTTGCCAACCTGTGTTAGAAAGTATAACTAGAAACTGTAACTTGGGACAGGGACACACTGCTCACTACTTTTGTGGCTTTGCAGAGATTAAATGCAAACTCACTCCTTTCTTTGTGATCGTTGAGATACAGACCAAAATACCAGGTACTCTATGGAGTCGAGGGAGTTTAATGAGCAGAGGTTTATTTTTACCACACACTGTGTGTGTGTGTGTAAGAAGCTTATAAAGCTGTCACGCTCAGCACTAAGGAGGAGCAGGCAGCCAGAAATACACCAGCACCTATGGTTATGTTTAGCTTTCCTCTAATACTGTACTTATGTCAAAGACATGCAGTCTTTGCTGAAATCAGAGTTAATTTGCTGAGTAAACATGTTTCTAAAGCTTAAACTACCTCTGATACTCAGTTTAGGTTGCATGTCATTCATTCAACTAGAGATCAGAGTTGTTCTTCCTTTCCTTCCTTTCAGAGTTCAAAGTGAAGTTGTCCTGAAGCAAATGTCAGTTTTGGGTCAGTTTTATGCAAAGTCAGTATGTTAGCACATTGCTCTGGTTTAACTGGGACTTCTGCCCATCACTGGCTACTGCTGCTGAGATTATACTTGTGCTTTGTCTCGTCTTACCTTTATCCTCTAACGTCGACTTAACAATTGACTAATTTGATTTTGATGGTTAAAGGTCATGTCACAAAGCACGCAGAAGCTTTTCTGTGTAGCATTTGCATGTATTTGCTCGGATTGGATATGCTGACGTGTTCAGGGTGCACCCTGCTTGTCACCCAAAGTCAGATGGAATATGCTATGGCCAAATCTCAAACATGGATTGAATGAGCTCTTAGGAAGATGGATGGATGTAAAAAGATATTTTATGATGTTTTGCAGAAGCACTTTGGGGTCCTATTTGAACCTCATAGCTCAGGAGCAGAAGGGGAGGTCATGCTTGGTGAGATATTGATGTGGAGAATTACACAGATTTGGACAGATATGTAAGCTTCAGCTTGGTTGATGCAAACTTCTAACTGCAAGGCAATAATTCTGGTTTAAAGTAAACCACACGAATGCATAATCAATGAAGCATCACACATGCATTCACATACAGCACCTTTTAGTTCAGTGAAAAGTCTGGGCTTACTTTCTATTTGAATTGCATTCAAATGGTATAACCACATGAGTAGCATGCAAATGCTGTCACTGCCTTAACTCCAGGACTCTCTGGAGTTTTACATTAAACTAATGCCTCACCTTGTCCTCTCAACAGGCCGCTTCCTGCTGTGTGGTTGGGGAGAAGCTTCAGTTCTCTCTGAGCACTGCGTCGACAGCCATGGCTACAGCAGATCCTTGTAAATATACTGTGTGTATAGCTCCATTGGAGCTGCAGGTAAATACTCTAAATTTGTGAAGTCTTAGACTGCAAGGAAAATAACACTGTTGGTTTCCTTTTGTAAAATATGTGTGTAACAGTTAGACTGTAGAGTTAAATCCGTTGGAAGTTGAGTGATTTAGTTTAATGGGAGCTTTTACTGAACACGATGTGCTGCCCAGCATTGGCTCACTGCAGGCTGCATTAGATTAAATGGTTGGGGCATCTTTCCTTCCTTGGCAGATGCCCCAAACAGCTCGTTAACATCCCTTTGAGGCCTGTTTCCATATAGAACTGATGAAGTTATGATCCGAATAAGACTCCCTTGTTTGTACCTGGAAATTGCAGTGATTTGCTTGATTTGTCATTATCAAAACTGTCTGCGTTGATTTCTTAAATGGAGTCCTGCAGCTCACCTTCAGCCTTTCCTAACGCTCCTCTAGCATTTTTAGACTTGAGTGCAGTGTTGAAATAAATTGGAGCCAAAGTTGATATGTTGGCATGTGTAATGGGTCGTGTCCGGAGGCTTTCTCCTGCTTTTAGCTTCATATTTACATGTTCAAAAACTGCTTGTGTCTATGTAAGCTAATGCAACTGTGCAAGGCTATTTCTAAACTAATTAACGTGCTTTTCCATCGAGGTAATTGTGCTATAAATACAACCTGAGTGTGAGAGGTTTGGAAGCTAAAGTCAGGTGTTG